GCGGAAGAATAACCCAGAACCTGAACGTCAATGTACCAAAACACCTAACAAAGATCCAAGTCTAAACAAGAAGGGATACAACCCCAACTAATGAACTAATAACCTAGCTAAAACAAATGTCTACGTCCGGAAATGGTGGACATAGACGAAAGAGAATTTCATGGCAGCCCGGAAGAATTGGCTCACCCTTCAATTCGAAGCGACAATCACTGATCTTCTAAGCGAGGTCTGTCAATAGCCGCTTGAAGATGTCATGTACTCAACAAAAATAAGAGCAAGTGCAGAATCAGTACACAACCATGGTGTACTGGTAGGATCACGCGGCTATCTCACTAGTGCAACATAAACAAGTCAAACAACATTATAATCACATGCATACATATCAACTTATACAATATCATCAACATTTACGAACAATGAACAACTTCAAATTTTATGTCAAATCATTGGTACTCTCATGGAACCCAAACCCAAACAGTTAACATGCCGGTACGTGGCAACCGATCCCATATTTATGCCGAAATGTGGCAACCGATCCAATTTTTATGCCGAAACGTGGCAATCGATCCAAGTTAGTTATGCCAGAACATGGCAACCGATCCCATTCACACACCACAATCACAATCACAAGTATATCATCAAGATCATACATTTAAGTCATGATTTCATGGCATTCATCAATTCTCTATCTCATTTACAACAAGTGTGATCAACATTGCAACATTCATACATATAAAAGTATCATAATGAAGCAAGAACAAACATACATCACACAATCATAGAATCACAACCATCACCTACCTCGAACAAGCTTGAAACCCTAAGAAACTTGATCCTTCCCTTTCCGGATTCGTTCCGCTTGCTTTTGGTCTACAAACAATCAATATAATACGAGAATCAATAAACAATCATTAATTACCCAGATTACTAACAATTCTATGAACCCTAGATCAACCCATGATCCCAACTATCCAAATTAGGGTTGTTTCCACCATAAAATCTATAACAAAACCCTTCCCCATCAATATTCACCCATTCTATTACGTTCTACGGATCGAAAAATGGATTCGGGGACTGAAAAGCTTACTTTTAGCCTCAAGAATGGTGAAAAACGAGTAGGAGTCGCCTGGGGTCGTTCCTTTGCTCAAAAGGTTGAAAAGTGCATAACGAGGTCATTTTGGGGGTTTATTAACGATTTTAATTCGCGTCGGTCCCGCCATAGCGTCCCCGCCAAAGCGTTAAAACCCAGCTCTAAAGCGGCATTCTCGAGGCAGAGGGTTATTTCAAGAATTTCAAAATTCTCATTTTACAACACACCTCTAACCCACAACGCTCAGTAAATATCCTTTACGCTAAGATCTATTTCGGGAGTTCTACTCGTCCGAATTCAATTCTGTAAAGTTGTACAGATTCCTTAACGAGTTATCTAACTACTCATGTAATCAAAATCATAAATGATTCACCCGATTGTTACCAGATTTCCCTACACCTCAATAACTCTGATTTCGTCCAAATCTGGACAAGGTTGGGAAAATCCAAATACTACGAAAAAGTTTTCCGGCCCTAAATTTTCCTCCATTGACTTTTCTATAATGACAGGAACAGGTCATTACACTGAGATACATAACAGACGATCTCGTCCGGCTCCCTCCCATCTTGCTCGCCACTCTCCTATATATCTACCATCTCAGATGCATGCAAATCACATCAAATACATACAATTTTATTATTAGGTAATAAACAGAAAGTCGGATCCACCCTGAAAAAGGTAAATGGAATATATTCCTTCGATCAGTTTCTCATATAAAACCCTTAATAGAGTAAAAAAAAAGAATTGTGAAAAAATTATAGCCAATTAAAGTAATGAAATTAGTCCCGCAGTTAGATATACAGTACAAAATTAGTTTAGAATCAATGTAATGCATTCTGCTTCCTTCAACTGATGCGTCTTCCCAAGTTTGATTAATCTAAATTCATACCATATAAAATATATCAAAAAGAAAATAATTTTTCATCAAAAAAAATTGTGTTCTCAAGAATGTGTAACCTCTGCTTAAAGAATGAAATCAACCCATCACAATTATTCTTGGTGGTGGTGTAATTAATAACTATTTACATTCTGAACAATAATATAAAACTATTTGAGATTAATACTTCTTTCCCATATATCCCTGAAAAAGTACATGAAATGATCAACTATTTTATTATTGAATGAAGTCTAAATAATTTATGTAACCTTTTTACAAAGAATAAAAATCAAGCAAGCGATAGGTACGCATATATAATAATAATTTTTTTTCTGTTTCAAACGTATAGAATAACATTATAACATCACGAGTAAAAAAAGCTATTTTGTTGTCGACGGTAGTGGCATAGCTATATAGATCCAAGGAGTGATAATTGGAACATTTTTTGTCGAAAAATTATATTTTGATGTGTGCTTGTAGAAAATAATAATGTGTATATAAATAAAAAATAAATTATTTAGAGATATATATTAAAATTTTGAATATCGTAAAATTTCTAGCTTCGCCACTGATAGACGGAACCAACTTTATTACTATTAGATAATAGAATTGCCTGTTACGTAGTGTTCCGTGACAATTTCCAATTGTTCTTGTCGCAAGTTGCAACCTGTACAAGAAAAGAGAGAACCCCCAAAATAACAAAATCTTGTTAATTATATTATTATATTAATGGATGTCCATTACTTTAAGGTATACGATAATTTCCATTATTATGTAATTAACTTCTCCACCTTCATAATCTTTGTAATAATCTCTCACACTTTCGTAACCTTTTCAATATTCTTGGTTAATACATCATATTTGTGACTATCTTTATATCAATGTTTTTTATGTAACAGTACTATAAATACAAATATATGAGTTTATATTGTACCCACTTGAATAGAAAGAAAAAAAAAGCTCATTTTTTTCTATTTCTAATGCTTTTTTTTGTCTCCATCCAGTATCAGATATCCACACTGTAGCTCGACTAAATTTGAATTTGCACCAAAAAGTCTTTAAAGTGCTCCTTAAAAAAGAAACTCAATATTCAGAGAGACTCAAATCCAAGACCTCTCATCTTTTTGTATTGTTTCTTGTTTACTCTAATTTTATAACCAAAATATAATTTATAGTGTTTTGTTCAATAATTGAGAATATACATAATTGAATTCGAAGGCATGTATTTGGCTGCTGAAATTAGGAGAACTGTAGCCACATAAATCATAAAGGTTCGTCGTTTTATTGTCTCCCACCATTTTCCCTTTTTTATTTTAAAGGGAGAAGGGAATAAATCTTATCCAATTTAAAGGAAAAAAAGAAGTTCAAAAGACAATAATATTATACACAAATTTAGGCATTACTAGAAAATATTTCTATTGCGCATATTAATTTGGACACACTATTTAATTATTCCAAACCACTATATATAACAAATAAATGATTTATAATTACAGTTATATCATATTTAGTGGTAATAATAAAATATGAGTATTTTATGATCAATATTTTATATAAATGCCGCTAAAGGCTTCAATGACTTTGAATGCAATGATACTAACTCAATTGCCGCAAAATATTTTTGCAAAAATAAATATTGCTGCTAAAAAAAAATATTTTAACACTAAATATCACTATAACAATTGTATCTTCGCCCCTCAAATTTAATTTGAATTTAATACTTCATCCATTTCAATTTATATGATGCACTATTTGAGATTTAACAAAAAAATTGTTGATCTGTGAAATTATTGTAGTCTTAAACATGCTTGATATAAAAAGTTTAAAATTAAATTATTCTCAAAAATTAAAATATATACTTCTTTTATACGGACTAATAAGGAAATATTGTTACATTAATAGGAACATGAATGGAGGGAGTTGATATATAACAATTTCGGATTTCCATATATGATCGTTGATAGCGATGGTTTTGAAGAAAAAATTTGATTAAAATCAAGTTGATAAGGTGCAATTTGCAAAATATGGAAATGTATACATTAATATGTCGAATAATTATCAAGAAGACTAATCCCATGATAAATGGATTATGGTGGTCTTCACACTTTTTTGTGAAACCTAATCCATAAATTTAAAAGCATATTAGCATCAGCCACTTATGATTAACATGTCATTAACATTTTAAATTTGCAATCAATTTCATCATACATGCAGATATAAATATATGACATAATCCACCAAGACGTGATAAGCATACTAAAGCAAAATTCATCAGCCACTCTACCAAAAATGATATTTTCATTGCTCCAAATTAGATCTCGGTCTAACTCGTACACCTCAAAAGTTAGATCAAAAGAAAGAGAATTGTCTAGACCATAAACATAAGGAGACCATTTATCTCATTAACTAACTATGTAAGACTTTTTCAATCTTCAACACTCCACCCCACCTCATGCTTGGGATGGATATCTGAAGTTTGAGCAATATAATTTTTAATTTGGGGTCCCAACATCAGGAGAGATGAGTTCTATTTTAATACCATATAAATTAGGTGTTGAACCTAACTTACACCCTAAATACTAACTCAAAGGGAAGAATATTGTCTAAACCTTGTATATCACCCATCTCATTAACTACCGAATGTGATATTTTTTCATTCTTCATTGAGCCAAAAAACATCTATTATTGGTGCCAATTGGCAAACATTGATAGGTGCGTCCCATCATTTGTTGATTGTTTTTTTTGCTGACTAGGATCACATTATTTGTACACAAAATAAATGAGGATCAAATTAAAACCTTTTTCAAAATTTTAGTGCCATAGTTGGAAGCTTTAGTGCCTCATAGATAGGACGATGACATAATAAAAGAGCAAAATGGGACCTTTTATTTTGGGGATATATCGAACCCAAAAAGGTTTAAGGATCAAAAGGTGTTTTGTTTTGTATACAAATTGAATTATAACACATAAAGCACTAATTGAAATAAAAATTCAAATTGGAGAACTATAGAACATATATATCCAATAATATTATATACTTGTAGCCTTGCTATATAAATATGTGAAGTGAGCACTCCTCATTTCATTATCAATCAAGTACTTGCAATTCTTTGTAACTGAGAGATTAACAAAGAGAGAAATTTCATTTTGAGAAAAGAAAAAGAGATGGGTATTTCTGGTCATTGGGCATTTGTTTTTGGTGTCCTTGGTAAAAATCTCTTTTTCTTAGTTTTTAGAACTCAATTGTCAAAATACTTGAGTTATACACATGTTAGTATATGCAAATGTTATACCATTATTTTATATTTACCTATTATAGCATATAGTTTATTTTATTTAAAAGATGACAAATGTTACATTTTAAATATAATATTTTTTTTGTTTCAATTTGTGTGACATGTATTTTTTTTTAATCCGTTCCAAAAAGAATGTCACATTTTCGTAACAATTTTCATTTACTTTTAAAGAAATGAATTACAGTTACACAAATTATCAAAAAATATTTTAGATTACAAATTACAAAAAATATTATTTTTTAAAGGTTTTTATCAAATTGAATAATTTCACATATATCACTTCTTATTGTTTTTTCCTTTTACATTACTTATTAGTAGTTAGAAAAATCTGTATTAGTCAAAAGTGGGCCAATAACAATTATATTATGACTAATACACTTAGAGACAAATCCATAAATTCTCTAATTAAGTGGAAGTGTCAATCATTTCATCGTACCTCAATCATTAACATACATAATTTAATCATTCCTAACGGATCTTTATTGTTATTTTATAATCTCCTCCAATTATTCATAATTTTAATTGAATTACCAAGATTTTTTTTTTCTTTATTGACCCTGAATTTTCAATTCATCTTGCAGGAAATATTATCTCGTTTATTGTTTTCCTTTCTCCAATGTAAGTGATCGATCTAGCATGTTGCCCCCTATTCATTTTCACGTTACATATTACTTAATTATTTTAATACTTGCAGACCAACATTTAATAAAATTTACAAGAAGAAATCAACTGAAGGATATCAATCAATTCCATACGTGATTGCTCTCTTTAGCTGCATGCTTTGGATTTACTATGCATTTTTGAAGACCAACACAACACTTCTCATCACTATTAACTCCTTTGGAATGCTCATTGAGACTATCTACGTTGGCCTCTTCCTTTACTATGCACCAAAGAAAGCCAGGGTAAGTTTTTTTTAAAAAATAAATTTTTTTCTTTCATTATTTCCATCTTATAGTAATATAAAGGAAGAAAATTATAATATATTTTTTTATAAATTCAGGTCAATACTGTGAAAATGCTACTTTTAACAGTGGTTGGTGGATTTGGTGCAATAATCGTTGTTACTCAATTTGTATTCAAAGGAGCTGTTCGTGGACAAATTGTTGGATGGATTTGCCTTATTTTCTCATTATGTGTCTTTGTTGCACCCTTAGGCATTGTGGTAAGCTTCAAAAATTACTTCTCGATTTTATCATGTTATAACAGGTTACATGTCTTATTTTTAAAATTAATGCTTATTAAACTGAAGCTTATTTTATGCAGAGACAAGTTATTAAAACAAAGAGTGTGGAATACATGCCAATTCTCCTATCAGTTTTTCTAACAATAAGTGCTGTGATGTGGTTCTTCTATGGTCTTCTACTAAAAGACCTGAACATTGCTGTAAGTAAATTAATTATCTCATCTTAGTACTTTTTTACTTATATTTTGTAAATGTCGTTGGAGTAATAATTAAAATTTTCTTCTAATGTTTTATTATTTATAGGCTCCAAATATTTTGGGATTCATTTTCGGTATACTCCAAATGATTCTCTATGCGATGTATCGCAAAAAAGATAATAAGCCCATCGTTAACGTTAATGTTGAGGTGCAAAATCCGGTTATAATCTTGGACGATAACAAGAAGATTCCAGAATTAACCGAAGAACAAATAATCGATATAGTGAAGCTTGGTAAATTGGTTTGTTCTGGAAAAATTCAAATGGCTTCCACTCTGAATCAAAATGCAGCTAAAGAAGTGAAGCTAACCAATCTGCAAACTGAGGAGGCCTAATTAAAACTTTTGTAAACCTAAAAGATGCACACCATGCATGTGTAATAATTATTTTTAACAAAATTCCCACTGTGTTTGATGGGAATCAAGTTTGTTATGTGTGTTGTAATTAAGTTTGATCAACTCATGTGGTTTCATTTCTCAATTAAATCAAAGCTCCCTTAATCTTTGGATAATTTGTTTTACCCGATAAATATCATGCTTTCTTTAATTTCCTTTTATAATAATGTTACAATATTGAAATGGCTAATATATAATGGACTAAAGAAATATTTGGAGCTCAAGTTAATTATATGTTTGTATGCAAACTTTACCGAAAAAATCCAAAAATCTGAAGAAAAAAATCCGAGGTTTATTAGTTTGGTTTGATTTATAAATTTAAAAACCCGATACAATGATTTGGTTTGATATTTGAAAAACCCGAACCAACCCGAGGTTGAAAAACCCGTAAAAATCCGAATTTTATTAGTTTCGTTTGGTTTATAAATTTAAAATTTTTACACAAATGGTTTGGTTTGATATTTGAAAAACACGAACCAACTTGGTCATGTACACCCCTAAGGGCCGGATAAGAATTTGGTATACTCACCTTCTAGAAACTACTTAATTACATAAATATTTATATCATATTTACAAATTAATTATAGTTTGAAACAATTACATTTTATATAACTAATTAATGATTTCATAACAGATTTCAAGTCAAATACACTTAGATATATATTTTATACGCATATACATATTGTTTGCACCTAGATACATATTATATTCTTTCCTACCAGATACATTAAAATAGGGAGAGAGGCAAGAGAGAACAGGAGAGAAGCAAGCAAGAATATGAGAGAGACGTGTGGGATTTGTCTATGCATCTCAGATATATGTGAATCACGCTCGATACACACTGGATAAATGTATATGTATGTATCAGAGTGATTCACATGCATCCCAAATATATGTGAATCCACTTGGATACAGTGTATCTAGAGCAAATTACACCTAATTTTGACCCCATTTATTTCGAGATGCATGTATCTATATGTAACTGAACGTACCAAAATCTATAAGATTCATAATATTGTAATGTAGTCTATATCTAAGTAATTAACTTCTAAACTAGTGGAATTTCTTTAAATTACTGAATTATACATAAATAAAAAATGGAGTTCTCTCTAAATCACTTACCCTTTGCCCTTTGAACTTCTCCTAGATTTTTGTATCTCTCAATATTTACGTTCAGATTCATTCCTTAAATACTAGTTGAGACTTAAGCCTAAATGGAATTTTGGTTCCTCGTAAGGTTTGAACAATTTTTTCTTTTGAATTTGCTTTTGGGGTGTTAGTTTAACTCAAAACATATTTTAACATGATATTAAAAGTATAAATTTTAGGAATCACACAGTTTTAATATGAAATTACAATCTATCCCTATATACTTTGTACTTACATTAATCCCTGAAAAAGTAAAACAAACTGGATACATAATATGTAGTGCGGTTACATTAAAAACTAGCTCGGATACATTATAATATAAACCGGATACATAATATGTAGCTCGGATATATTAAAAATTAGCTTGGATACATTATAAAATAATTTAGAAATAGGAGAAAAATAAGGGATTTTAGAGGTTTTTAGAAATAGAAGGGAATATTAGAAATAAGGAAAACATAAGACATGTATTTCAGTAATTTTTCTAGATCCGAAATGGGCTCTCAGGAAATCGGACAAATGTGGAGGGTAGAAATACCCCATATAAAAATGTGTACGCATCGAACCGGAAAGTGGAACACCAAATAAAGAATGTTCAGATTCGAGCAGTGAAGAAATCAAGATTTTCATTAAGGGAGATCAAAATATTATGAAGTAAACATACGAACTAGGCTTAGCCGAAGGGGGTTCAAAAATAATTTAACCATATATAAATAGAGAAAATTTCGCAAATAGCCACTATAATAAATTTAAGAGCAACTTTCACGTATAGCAAACACAAAATTCATATTTGTATGCTATAGCAAAGTTTGTAGAATTGCGCTCCATAGCAAACATATATATGTATAATTCGCTATACATATACAAAAAAAAACAGTTGTATAATTCGCTAAACATATACAAAGAAAGCAGTTGTATAATTCGCTATACATATACAAAAGAAAGTAGTTGTATACAAAAAATCAATTGTATAATCTGTGTATGTAAACGAGAAAGAGAGAAAGGCAAAAGAAAATTGGGCATGGAAATATTTTTTTGTATAATTATAAGTGTATAGGATGAAGATATATGTATTTGCATGTGTATATACAATTTTCTCTCGCTTTATACAAACAGAAGTGCAATTTATATATTTCGTTTCTGTTTGTATAAGCGAGAGAGGTGAGGGTGGCGAGTGAGATTTGGGAGACTGGCGAGCGAGATCTGGAAGAGGGGAGAGAGGGGAATGAAAATATATGTATATATACAATTTCCTCTCGTTTTATACAAACACAAACGTATTTTATACATTTGTGTTTGTATAAAAGTGAGAGAGGCGAGCGAGACTGCCACCAAACGAGAGTGGCGAGCGAGATTCCACCAGGGAGAGTGGCGAAAATAGCAATAGTTTGCTATAGGGTACAATTAAATCAAAGTATATTTATAGCATTTAATTTGAATTAATAGTTTGCTATTATATATAATTTTCCCTAAACTTAACTATGCTCCATAATTATAGTTTGCATATTTACGGGCTATAGCTACAGTTTAAACTGCCTCGTTTATATAATTCGCGAGTACGTTTTTATAACTAAGCTATTTTTGTATAAACTCGAAATAACAAATTTATACAAACACATACATCTAAACTTTAAACAATTATACAAATTATATCATACAAAATTACATTATACAAAAATTATACAAATTCCAAAATCATACAAACGTGCGTATACAAACTCAAAACCTCGATCGAGTAGTTATCACATAATGTTGATCGAGAGTAATAATTAACTAAAACTATAACTATAATCACTAATTATATGTTTGTGCTTAACTATGTAATTTTTCCCTTAATAATATGACTTTCCATCTATGCAGGTTCAAATGAACCCCTATCCCAAGGTGGCTCTGCACCTCTACCTTTGAATTCAGCATGAGACCTCTCTTTGAGATACCTTTTCTAGGATATGACTTGGGTTTAAGAGCTAATTTAACAACGTGGACTTTCTCTTTCTCTCTCCAATAAGGCCCATTCTTGACAATTTTGAAATGAAACCTCTGTTTGGAGAGTCTACTAAGGAATATCTTGTCCCTTAATAATCAGAATTTCCATTTTTTTTTAATTAAAAAATGAGTATATATTAGAGCGATCTTCACTTTTAAAATACAAAATCTTCTTTATTTATATATGTTAGTATACAATTAATCGTGCTAACACTAAAAAAAGTAGCAGTGACAGTATTTATTACTAGAACTAGGAAAGACCAAACATACATAATGGACAAGCAGCATGCTAACGTTAGCACATAAGGGTGCAAAGATTCTTCCTCATTTTTTGTTCAAATTCAAGATTCTACATATATATGTAGATTCTACTCATAAGTTTCCCATATATTGCTATGATGACCAACTATTATGGGTATCAGTACTGGCCAACAATTATATTAATATTAAGTACAAGTGTCACAGCCTCACATATTACTTATGTTGCTAATTTAGTGTTAGAGTTACATATATATATAGTGGTAAACATATGAGCCGCTGATTTGATTTATGAATTTATTATTATAAAAATATTATCATTTTCATGGAAGATCTGTGGATAAAATTTTGAGAGAGATTTTCATGTAAATAAGTTTCGGAAATACACACTTTTATATAATCAGTACAAATCAACAACTCCTAAAATTGATGATAATTTTTATTTGGACACTTAAATTATGTCATGCTTTAATTGAGCACTTGAAGATACGATTAAATTATGTCATGCTTTAATTGAGCACTTGAAGATACGATTAAATTATGTCATGCTTTAATTGAGCACTTGAAGATACGATAAGTAACTTATGATTTTGAAAATATTACTATGTGTGTGTAATTAATCGTCCATTGCATAGATAATTAAGTCAAATAAATCATGATACTTTTTTTTAAAAATAATACACGTCCAACATCAATTAGAACACATTTTATATTAAGGGTGTGTTTGGTATGAAGGAAAACATTTTCCGGAAAATGTTTTCCAATTTTCTCATGTTTGGTTGAGTTAAATGTTTTTCAAATCAACTCATTTTCCTCAAATTTAAGGAAAATGACTTCCCTTCAAAACTTAAGGAAAACATTTTCCAAACCTCTCTTCCAACTTCAAATTACAATTACTTTTTTGTTGAAAAAATCAATTTATTTTGTCCCTACCCTCAAACCAGACCCCCAACCACCCCCCCCCCCCAAAATAAAATAAAATTTTAAAGCTTGTTTTTAGATTCAATTTTTTTACCCCACCTTCACCCCTTCAATTTTTTATTTTTTTACTCCCACCCACTACCCTCGCCCCCCATCTGCCCCCCTATCAGCCCCCCAACTCCCTTCAAAAAAGAATAATTTAAGTTTGTTTTTAAAAAATATTTTCAACTTCAAATTTTTATTTTTTCATCCCGATCATCGATCACCCACCCCCTCCCCAGCCAACCCCCCGCTCCCCCCACCCACCCCCCAAAAAAAATTGAGTTTGTTTTTAAAAAATATTTTCAACTTCAAAATTTCATTTTTTCACCATATCCTCGACCCCCCCCCACCCACCCCACCCCTGCCCCCCAAAAAAAAAATTAAGTTTGTTTTCAAAAAATATTTTTCAACTTCAAAATTTCATTTTTTCACCCTACCCTTGACTCCCCCACCCACCTCCTACCCAGCCCCCCCACCCGTCTTACCCTACCTCCCCCCCCTCCAAAAAAAAAATTAAGTTTGTTTTTAAAAAAATATTTTCAATTTCAAAATTTCATTTTTTCACCCCCTACCCTCGACCCCCCACCCACCCCCAAAAAATAA